CGAAGTGAAATATTAATTCAGGTAAAAGGTTTTCCTTCGTGTTCGTATTTGTAAAATACTAATGCATCAAATATACACGACGCGATGCTGATGCTGATGAGACATTGGTAGTAATTCAATTATAAAAGTTTACGAGGTGCAAACAGATCCACCCAAACTGGTAAATTTTAGCAGATGCCTTCTAAAAGGTTCGCTCCTTTCATTCTCAAACTTAAATAATTAACAGGATACTAATACGTAATAAAAAAAAAAGGCAAAGGTGTAAACTTAATGTTTGTTCGTTATAGTTACATTTTTATAACATACATATTTCGCATTTATAAATAATAGTTTTATAAATAAATAATTCAAAAATTACTATTTTAGTTATTATTAATATTTTTCATTATCCAATTTATTTTACTTACAAACCATTTTATTTATATATCTGATGACATACATTGTGAACTTTTCCGCAAACGCAGATGTTTCACTCCAATTTTTTTTATATATAAACGTTTACATTACGATCTACACTGCTATAAAAAGTTTTTAATCCAAATATTTTTTGCATCGTTTAATCTGCTCTGCCTGTTCGTGTACATAAATAACAATTTGATTAACAATTTCCGGTAATACGTTATTTTTGGTTCAGTCGATTTAAATTTATCTTAATTTTAATAACAACCAAAATCTCTTACACACAAAAAATAAGATATATTTACTATAGACCGCAATCTTTTCCTCGTAATAATAATATTTACAATTTCAATCAATTTTCAACACCCATAGAGCAATGAATGGCAAAATTTTGTAATTTCTTACCATTTCTATACTTAACAAATTTATCTGTTTTCTTGAAATGACAAATTTAAATCATAATTAATTAAGGAAAATATATTACAACTTTACTGATTACTTATATTATTTGCTATTCACTAATTGTTGATATGAGAACGTGACACAAGCTGAAAGCTTTCGGGTTTGGAAACGCAGCAATAGACGATTTGTCAACACTGAGATCATTTACTAGAATGCAGCAGAAATGCAATAGCCAATTAGAATATAAATCTATACAAATACAGCTAATAAATTAAGAATGTTATTTAAACTATCTACATCATTTATATACGTGTATTATTTCTACCAATGCTATGTCAGTTTCACCCACGCAACGCTTCACCTACTACTACTATTCAGTAGCAAAACATACTTGATCTTTGTAACGCTATCTCATTCGATTGTTCTGTCGTTTGCTTTAGATCTTTTGATGTGACCGGATATGAATAAACAGAATTTATTCAAAGGCCGCGCGCGCGGTGGGCGATGGTTTAGCAGGACAATATCCAATCTGTGGATCGGTGCAAAAATCACGTCACCGACTGTACCAATTCACCACTTCACCAATCGTAGCATCGCCGGTTTGTGTGTAAAACATAAAAGCAAGGTGAGGAGTGCAAATGGATTTCGTTCGGGGGCGATTTAAACTGAGTCATCCATTGAATTATAATATGTGAACACGTTACATATTCCATATTGCGAACGGCTCGCCTTCGTCGGGCGCCCAACCATCCTCTAACTACCAACCAAGAGCTCTGCGGTCCTCGATGAAACAACACAATGGAAAATTGTAATGACTCCATTCACTCCCAACAACCAAATGATATATTATACTATGTACAGACATAATAATGAACAAATATTTAAATATATTAACAGGTTTTCAAGAAACGACTTTACTTCTTAGTAAAGTTTACAATATTTTATTTATTTTATTCTGTAGAAGAAGTGCAGAATATCCATGAGCTTTGCAATTAAAACAATTTAATTTGTTTCAAATTATAACAGGTTTAACGTACTAAATTGGTTGTTATCCTTTGAGTGCTTGGTATACACTGAGATTTACCGGAGATGCAGTTGCTCAAATTTCACTTAAGTTGTTGTTTTAGTCTTTGTTTCATACTAGAGGTGTCATGTGAAACAGGTGAGAGACAGTCACTCGTATCTATGCACCTCTTATTTGTGAGATGAAAAAAGTAACTGAAATGTACACCAAACAGACCACATGGAACGGTGCAGCCAACACATATCGGTTTCAACGCAATCACTGAAAGTCTCTTTCTTTCTCTCATTCTCTTTTGACTTACAAATATACATGCAGACCGGATATATCCGACTGACTTTCATCTCGCTATTTAATTACGATCATTGAAAGTGCAAGAGACTTGGTTAAATTTTGATTTAAAAACCACCTTTTGCTCGATCGCGAATGCCATCACGTTTGCTGCGACCGTGCAGGTTTTTCTTACGGTTAACTGTAAGAGACCGATTACGACTGGATCACTTCACTTTCATTCCACGGGATTAAATCTGCCTGCTCTTGCTCTTGCACTTTAGTTACAAAACGCTTCAACACAAATACCTCGAACTTTTAATTTTCATATAGTATTAATCGAATCCAGGTGTTGCGTGTTGATGCACCGCGTTATGGATGTCCCATCTGTCTGCCATCTCCGACTATTTATTTATCGACTGGTTTTATTGAACTCGAGCAAAAACTTGAAACCGTAATATTCACATATGATTATTAAAACCGTAATTTGTGCGAGAATGGAAGAAAACATTCAGTTAATCTATTAACCAATATTTGCAATTTCTTATGAAATATAAACTAATCTGATTTTAAAATATCTACTTGTCACGTAAACACTGTTCACAAATAACATTTGTTTTTAATTCTTATCCAGATAATTTACAATTTCCATCAAACTGCTCGAAAACGAAAATTTAAGAATAAAAGCATGCACTTGTCACAACACAATATTGAATTAGATTTAGTTTATTAGTGCAAATGAGAAATCTAAGATCTAAATGTTAACGTTCCATCAATCTAAAAGCATTAAACAATATGAATAAATAAGCAATTAGAAAATCTATGTTAACATTACAAAATCTTTAATTCCTATAAGATTATACATACTACATATAAAGGGTGTCCCAAAATTAACGTACGATTTGAATTTGCCGCCCTTGATGCAGTAAAATGTCAAATTGTTTATTTTTTCAACACTTTACTGCACGCCAAATTCAAATCTTGCGTTAATTTTGGGACACCCTTTATGTTTAAATGAAAATAATTTTTCAGAATGTTAAAAACTAATATAAAAATATAAAATATTGCCAATTTTAATTCTTATCCAGATAATTATGTACAATTTCCATCANNNATAAATAAACTATTAAAAAATGTATGTTAACATTACAAAATCTTTAATTCTTATAAGATTATACATACTACATATAAAGGGTGTCCCAAAATTAACGCAAGGTTTGAATTTGCCGTCCTTGATGCTGTAAAATGTCAAATTGTTTATTTTTTCAACACTTTACTGCACAAATGGCGTTAATTTTGGGACACCCTATATTTTTAAATGAAAATAATTCTTCAGAATGTGAAAAACTAATATAAAAATATAAAATATTGCCAATGAATATAGCTGATCATTATTTTTTATATTGGTTTTTAACTTTTTATAAATTTATCATATCACAAATGATGATTACAAAATTATATAAATTTTCTTTGTGAAACTATTCTCACAATTTGCAAATGCTGCGAATGATATAAAATCACGTTACGGGATAATAAGGAAATGCTTAATATCAGCGAGCAAAAGACTGAAATAAATCTTTCCTCTCTCATTTCCGTAGCACGCACAAACACACACTGCACACAAATAACCGCACAAAAGAAATAACAAAAAAAAATTACAGCAACATCCGAGGGCATCGAAACTGCACCGACAATCAATTATTTATTTATTTCTTGTTTGTCGTCGCCCGTGGTCCAGTCCAGTCCAGTCGAGTTAATAAGGGAATGGCCGCAATAAATCACCATTTGGATTTTGGTCAGCGAAGAAAAATCCCTCCGGGAAATAATCAATCAAGAGACCGGCGACATCCCCAACTGATAAATAGATACACGAAAATTCGCCCTCGTCGACCAAAAAATGGTCTTCCTTCACGAACCACTTCTTGCTAGACGATTTATCATTGATAACATTATAATGCGAAGCAGATTCTCTTTGGACGAACAGACACGCATGTCAATCTCAAATATATTTCATGAACGAAGCTTATGTTCAAAGTGTTAACATGCATTCATCATTATTTACCCAAATTAACAAATATTTTATTTGTTTCCACTATTAATTATCTAGAAAAAAAAAACATTTCTCTTTATAATTAAATTATTATATAAATCTTTTGGGTTGTATTTTTTTTGATTTTCAACAAATGCTTTAAAATATGCTTTGAGATGCCGCAAATGTTAAAAGCACAAAAAACAAGGAAGCATCAAAATTCGAGAATAACTTTTCATGCAAATCGAGCAACCATTTTCCGTTGAAACTTGAAGATTCTACAAAGTTCCCTAATGGAAATTTAGTTTTCCCCTCTCGACGCTGTCGGAGAAGGGGAAATAAATTCAAATCTATGCTCATTTTCCGTTGTAGCGCTCGGTAACAAACGCATTGTGTATGTACATTTCCAGTGCGCATATCATATTTGGGAGGCGAGTTGGTATGTCGGAAAAGCTATCTACCTGTTTCCGGGGATTTGTGTGCGAGGGTGGAAGAAAAAACGACCATAAACACAGGAATTACAACCGTCGAGCTTCCATTGCTCTACAAAACAATAGCACGCTTCTATGCGCGGCAGGAAAAAAAAATAAACTGCAGTTACTGTTAAAACTACCTCGGACCAGTTACTAGCTCGAATCAATGAGCATTTACTCAGCAATGCCAAGAATTGATTTGTATAAAAGTATATGAAAACAACTAGTCCGCTCTTTTTTTTATTGCGACTGATCTCCGACGAAGTACTGTTATTCCAACGTACATTGAAACTTCTTTTGTGATCTTCTATGAGTAGCGAAACGAAATCAACGAGAGTTGATTAATTAATTGAATTACGCATGAGATGAAATTTAGATTTGATTTAGGAACAGAGTGGAAACTTACCGGCGGCACAAGTGGAGGCATTTGAATGTCATTCTCGTGATAGATTGGTCCGAGACTCGCGCAGTCCAAGGCCATTGCAATAATTCATCTGTGAAACAGAATATAGAAAAGCGTAGTAATAAGTTCGGAGCACTAAAGGATGTTCAATTTTCATAGTTGACGTGAATGCAAGAGAGACAACCGGAAAATAGAATCAGAAATTTTAAAATATTAAAGTAACTGAAAGGAAAATGTAAAAAAAAACGATATCATGCTTTAAAACATTTCAAGCGTGAAAGATCGGCGCCTCGTAAAATTCTACATAAAAATGTGCACTGAGAAACATTTTCTCGTATCAAATTTTCTCCTTGAGATTATTATTCATTTTATTTCTCCTTTAACAACAACTTTCTTTTAATATTTAACAAATTGAAGAAGAAGAAAAAAACTTCAAATACGTGTTCAATATCTACCAATACTTTTTGTTTTGCTGCGTTATTACGAGAACGCTTGTTTTTTTTGTAATTCTTGTGTCATTGACCAAAAACGTTTCGCTTCATCAAGAACAGAATATTTAGGTAACAAAAATATAACATCGAATCCTATACTTTTCATCGAAGAATATAGGCAAGAGGAATTTCTAAAGAAGAAAGTTTATTGTTGTAATTATTTTAACAGTTTATTAAACTGACAGACTTAATAACCAATATTTCTTTAAAATTCGGATCCTCACGGAAAAAGAAAACATATTTTCTATTAACAATGAAGAAAATTATAATTTGATACAAATGTAACAGCTTAAAACTAATGGATTTACAATTACATTTTCATAATACATTTTTTTACTGACATTTTCTTAAGCAAATCGTTATTGAATAAAATACTCATATCATTATGGTGTAACATTTACTGAAACTGATCTTAAGTAAATAGAAATATATCTGGCATGAAATATATCTGCAGATTAATATTTCCTTATATCTAAAATGCGCAATATATAAAGAAGTAAACTGAAAGTAAGTAAAAGTTTAATCAAATTACTTTACAAAGTTGTACATAGTAAATGTAAAATATTATTAAATGCAAACAAACCACAATGAACATCTGTCGTTTATTGACTGCCAATTTATTTTTCAATTATTTTCTACAATATGCAATTCTCTACTTTCTACTTACAACCAGTTATTATAAAAATATAAACATAATTAAATTTTAAAATAAAAATTTTAAGAAGAAATTTTTCAAATGATACAGTTTTGCTAATGTTTGGATAATAATGTAATAAGGACAGAAATATTGGCTTTTGTATATTTTTATTTATTTTAACTAAACTAATCGAAAATTAAATATATATTAAGTTAACCAATGTTTGTTTACATCATTGTCCTATCTAATTGAATATTCAGTACATTTCCTTACAATATAAAAAAATAGAGGAAAATGCGCTGTGGAAATTTTCCTAATTTACGTAATAACTATTGATCAAATAATAATGGTAGATCCACTGGTTTCAGCTATTGGGTTACTAAATAGAGATCAAGTAATTTATATCTGAATAATTTGTACACATCCAAGGCTATATTTTTTTCTTACCGGTATTTCAAGCCAATTATTTATGAAATAGGGTCGATTTTGAAAACAATTGCCTAATTTTTATTACTTTCTTATCGAGTGTGCTAATGATTCCCAAATAAAGATTGTTTAAACCCTAAATATTAAAAGTCTGTACAACGATCAAAATAATATTTCTTTTGAATTGTTAATAAATATTATAATAATAGTAGTAGTAATTGGGGTGGAAACAGGATCTACTAGCTTTTTATGATGGTTATTTAATATAACGATTTGGGATAAAAAATAAATAAAAACTATATAGTAATAATGAAAGTACATTCAGGAACGTAAATCGCTCGATCCCATAGATATTTAGTTTGATTGACACACATAAAATGCACGCAATAATAATAATAACAGCTTCGGTAACGGTCGTCATTCGGAATGGTCCATTTATTACAATCTCGCATGATGCACGTTACATACAAATATAAATTTCTGCAATCCGTTATTTTCGATATGTGCACGCTACATGTATACATACCGTACTTGTGCATACACACACAAAACGTTATTAAAATCCGCTATTGAAAATAGTCATTGTCGATACAACTGGACCAGATCTGTATAGTATTTCGGTAGAGAATCCAACTATGGCTCTCTGATATTGATTCAGACCCGTAACGGAAACGCGCATTCAAAACCTAATAACATTATTACAATCATCATCATCATAATAATGATTACACCTGGAATGATTACACTGAGACCTACAGCAATTCTTGTCGGTGAACTTTTCACTTGCGAGAGACTCTTCTTCGGCCAATTACCACGATAGGATTGTTGCACTTCGGTTCCCATAATCCCGTCGGCTTTTAGAAAGCATTTAAATGTGAATTCTATTGATACAGATACCTGTGTTACTCCGGCTTATAATTAATGATCGGTCCAGATGATGAATTGTGTTTTAATTCGATACCTGACTACGGTAGCTAACTGTTAATCTGACAATCATTCTAGATGCATATCGGCATCATTCTTTCGGCACTGCGCGATAGATAATTGTTCACGTACTTGTTAAAGAGCAAATGAAATGGAAGCGATAGAAACCACACAAGAAGCAGCACGTGTTTGTGTAATACGAGTGGTGCACACCCTTGCTTCCATAAAGCAATTTCCTGCTGCGTGATGGATAAGATTACAACAAAATTACAACTGCTACAAATGCATTGCTCGGAACTAATATACATCATCAAAAAGAATTGTCCTCATATCACTCTCTTAATGAAAACAATTAATTTCTCTATGCAATTACGAAACAGGGTGTATCTTGACTGTTTATTTATTTGACCTCCGTTTGATACAATAACCAAATACGGATGTAGTTCTTTTAACGGGAGCAACGAATCTATTATTAAACTTAAAGCGCAGATACATTTACCACACAGCTCACGCATAAACTAATTTACTACTTTAACAACAATAAACACAAGTTCGGTTCATCTGCTTCCAATAATAAACACTTCTAAAGCTGATACAGTTTTGTAATCAACATTTGCTTATTAGGACATAAACCATGTCTGTATTGCGTAGTTGGTAGAAAAAAAAAGTTTCACGCATTTACTCATAGGAAAAATCTATTTTTAATTAGTTAAACTTGAGTCTTTATATATTCATGTTACATAACTTAATATATTTATTATTTTTATAAAAGGCAGGAAACAATATTTCAAAAATGATTTAATTTGAATAGAATAAAAAAAAATTACATTGACATACCAATTGACTCAAGTTCAAATTTGCATGAAGCCTACGCAGTCATTTATTCATTGAATTTTTCTTTGTTCAACAATTGTCAACACGCTAATAAATAATGAATGTATTTATTGCAAGCCAACAGTTAGGAAATTAAACAAATCGCGTAGGTGTATTTTGGAAATAACTGCCGACCAACGGATCGCAGCTCCGGCAGTGGTTACAAAATGTAAATACATCATATTTTTTTTCATGTTAGTATAAATGTATAATTAAAAGAATAGTAAAAAATGACCAATTAAAGCAGTTGCATCGGAGTGAAACGCATACGCATTATAAATTATATTCCGAAACGTGTTCTATGGGATTAGGTCATCTCGCGATAACTGGGATATACCGTGTGATGAATGTGCATGGATCGAGTTATAGGTGTAGGTTTTGAATGCAGTGTTTTATGTGGACGTGCGCGAGTGTTGGTAATTTGTATATTTATATGGGGCTAAGCCGAGTGTAGGCAGATGGACATTAATTGTTCCTAGAACATAAACAATTTTTTCCGTCCAATTAACAACCAAGAGTGTTCGGAATAGGAGAAGCAGTTTAGACGAAAGATAGATAGAAAGAAAGAAAGAATACAAGGGACCCGCGTCATTTGAAATTACAATGTAGCCGCGCCATTAAATTTATGTCGACATAATAATCATTTCTATGCCAATAAAAGTTTTACTGTTGGGCAACAGGCTTAGTGTCAAGTACAAAATTCGACGCGAAATAAATTTGCACCTTTCTCATTCTCACTCTCTCCCTCGATCCATTCGCGTTAATTTATAACCAGTCCAGATTTCCACGCTCCAAATAAATACATTTCTTCGTTTTTCTTCGTTATCTCCATAACGCAACCATTTTTTAATCCATATATCAAGTAGGTGACAAAGCAACGAGAGAAAAAAAAACGCCGTTATGCCATTACTCAATTATGAATTTCCATAATTATAGACACTTTCTTTCCATTTCCGTTTATTCTTATTTTCACCTATCGATAAATCTATGCGTAAAATCATGGGAAAGTTGCGTTCATCAATACGATCACAAACAAATTGTTTCTTTCTTAATTTCAAACGGTAAGTATACAAAGTAGAGCAGTAATCTATAGATTTTACTGATTGAGCTTATCAGTGTTCGTGTCGACGACAGCTGCTGATGATGTAGAAACTGCTGGTTGCAATTAAACAAACAAAAGAAATATATAACTAAATTGTTTCCCTCGTCCATTTTCATCTCTTTTGCCCCCTTAAAAAGAGAAATATTCGCAAGAAAGTACCTAATCAGTGTGAACACGCCATGCACTTTTTTGTTACTGAGAAATTATTTTCAGCTGGTCTTAATTATGTTTATCTTCATTAGTGTTCGCATGAATTGCACATTATTACTATTAGCGTTTATTTTCTTAAAGTAATTACACTAAAAACTGGTAATTAATAAACTTCTTAACTTTAAATGTCTGTTAATTAATTAAGTTAAATCGAAATTTTATAAATCTAATAGAATAAATATTCAAGTCACGTCTATTCTAATTAGTATAATGTATTATTAAGAGTGTTAAAATCTCAAGTAATTAAGGAAATTACGAAAGTTATTTGCATTGAAATATTTAGAAATCAACTCAAGCTACTTTAAATTGTCAATTAGATAGATAAATATTGAAAGTATTTGGAATGACAGAATAGTAAGACTTTCCTTTCTACTAATATATGCTTCAATTTGTGTATGACTTTTATTTTATTTTTGTTCAACAATAAAGAATTGTAACATTGTCAACAATAGTATGTAAATGGTTTTAGGAGGCTAGGACATCCTGACAAGTTTTATATTAATTTTGAAAAGTGTCAAATGTTTGTTTAGAACCGAAACCATCAAATTATGAACTTGCATGCACCGCTGATAATATTGCTGTTGTTAAGTGCCATTTTCTGCGAAGTAATCGAGGAGGAAGAGGAGGACCAGAATAAGAATGATGAGAGTAATATTGCATCGAACGGTAATGGAGCCTCGAATGGATCTGGTTCGAGTTCGAGTTCGTCCTCGTCTTCCTCCTCGTCATCATCAGATTCAGTGTCCTGTCCCGGTTTCAACGACAAAGGGGACGGCAAAAACAGTCTAGAGGTAGGAAAAGCCAAAGCCACGAACATTGCCCAGAAGGCAGCCCAGGAAGCGAAGGCAGCGCAAGAAGCGCAAGCGGCGGCCGGTGCACAGGCTGCCCACCAGGTTAAGGAACAGTTGGCTGAGAAGGCCTTGGAAGCAGCCGAAGCCGCCGAGGCAGCTCTATCCGGGAAACAGGCCATAGTTGAGCAGTTGCAAGAAGAGGTACGTGAAGCTGAGGCGGTGGAGCGGGAGGAATCGAATACGATCCAGCAGGAAGCGGGTATAGCTGGTGCAGCAATGCAAGCGGCACAGGAGGCACAGGCGGAGGTGAAGCTTTTGTCGAACGCTCTGCAGGTGGCTCAAGCACTTGCAGCGAATGCGGAGCAATCGGCTCAAGGTGCCCAGCAGCAGAACCAAGCCAAAGAACAATTAGTTGAAGCGGCGAAGAACCGCGAAGCACAATTGCAGAAGCAATTAGAGGCTGCTCGGATAGATTTAGCTAATACTAAGAAGGCGGCCGCCAAAGCAGCCTGTGCAGCGCACGAAGCCAAGGAGAGTGCGATGCGTAACAAAAGGAAAATCAAACGTAGCAATAGAATGAAGAAAATGAGGAAAGAACCAACCGCACAAGAATAGACTTACATGCATTACTTTTTTAATTAATTGTACCTACATATACTTATATTTTTTTATAGAATAATAAACAGTTTTACATGCGCAACGGAATCGATGAACACTCGAAAATCGACCGAGATTGGCTGCTTGATGGCCGTAAATGGTTTGCGCCATTTTTACAGACGGAACCATTTATATTGTCTTCGTGGTCTTATAATTTAAATGGGTAAATTATAGGGTCGTGTGCCCTTTACAATGACGCATCAGGTTTAAATCATTTGCCGGACAGAAATTGCTGGATGCACTTACACGAGATAACAATTACACGAAAACGGTCCGTACAGTGAAATTAAAAAATGTATATGTACCGAATTCACTTCAATTTCAACAACCGCCTTGCTTGCTGGCTTGCTTGTTCCACCTTCTTCTCTTCCTTCCTTCATTTCTTCTCCTGCATTAAAGGCTGATTTTCGCACCGCTCCTTTCTATAAATATTTACGTCTGCATTCTTTCTTTCTCTCTCTCTCTCCACCCCGACTCATCTGCATACATCAATATTTGTCTTTAAATTTATTATTTGCATAATCATAAAAACAGTCGCTCGCTCTTCATTCCGCCAGAGAAACCAGAAACCAAAATGAAACAAGTTAATTTTGTATAAACGTTTTATTATCATTCAGCATTTATGACAAATTCTTCACACGATCCACCAATCTTTTTTTTTTGTTTCTCTTATTCACTACTAACAACGAATGCTATTGCAGTGTACAGCTACGATTGCATTTCCTACCTATCTCTCCCTCCTTCAATTGTCTTAGAAAGTCAATCACGTTTCAACTTTGCGGCAGAGTCCATTTGATCAATAGGCAGTCATTCACCCAATAATACCATTCATCCGTACGTCTTCCACATCACTTGCATAATTTATTGCTGTCTAACCTATTTTATAACCTTCACCTAAAGTTAACATTCTTGCATCTATTATCTCCCTCCGTATGTATTACTTTCAAATGCATATGCTCTATTAACATTTTCTAAGTCATCAAGATGATATATTAATATTTTAATTTGGATCAAAAAGGCTATAGATCTACTCAATATAAATATATTCTTGTTCATTCCCTGCGAATGTTCCATTACTAATTTGTTTCATTTTTATTGGACATGCTCAAAACGGATCGGACCGCAGTTTTGCGGAAATAATACGGTTTTTGTTGGCAATTTTCAATTAATAATTAAAACCCGTGGAATTATTCCGATACAATCCAACGCTGTCAGTTAATTCGAAATATTGATTGCGTTTTACCAAAGCTTCGCTTTTCCGATTATACATTTTTTGTTTTGTTTTGCTGCTGGATATTTCCATTGTTTTTCACAACTGAAATACGACGTAATTTTGACAAGATACAGCGTTAAATGGACAATTGGATAGACTCATTGTGTAAGGCCACAATCCAAACACCATTTAGTTGGGAATTAATACAAATACGTTGGACGTTATCGCACTCATTATGTTATTCATGAGGTTTATCGTAGCATGCAGAATCGACATTTTCTAGGTGAGCTCTTTATCGTCTGCATTAACAATAAGGTTATTGTTTAATGGTAAGTCAGGATTGTAGCTGTATAGTGACGACTTATTTCTAATACTTATAATGTTGTTCAAAAAATAAATATATGTAAATTATTTTGGGGAAACATTAATAATACGTATTAACATCAAACCTTTGGTACGAATGAATAAAAACTAAATTATCATATGAAAACAGCAAAAGAAAGACGATAGACTAGATACTAAACTTGTCAATTCGTTATATAGTATTTATTCACATTTATATATCCATCCATGAAGGAGATTCAGTCTATAGAAAAGCAGTATTTTCTACTTGCATAATATAATAGTAATAACAGAAAATATCGAACGGTATATTTAAGGTAAAAAATCGTATAAAAAGTTTTTACATTCGACGCAAACTCAAAATATTTCTGTTGACCGATTGCAAAGAATTTGAGGTCGTTGCCCAATGGCGTGTCCAAAAAAAAATGCTTAATAGATTCGAACAGAAATAAGAGGATATTATTAGAAATTAATGCGCGTCAATTAAATGAGAAAGAGAATACATAATAGCGAAGCGGTTATTATATCTGAGTAGTCTCATTAAGTACGTAAAAGAAAGGAAGAGGAAAATATAACCTTCGGTCTTCGAGTTAAGTGTAAATAAACAAACAGAAGTATTATTTGTTAACTGAAATATTTTGCATACAGTAAACGGTTAATCAGGCGGTAACGACTATATGTTCTTATTAATACTGTAATCTCAATAATCCTCCTTTTTTTTTGTTAAATTTTAAAAATGCGTTATTGGAAGTTAATCAATTTACGGCTCGCGCGCCGCGACCGCAGTTCGACCGCAAAATGGCAAAATTACATGGGAGAAACATTAAAAACACCTTGAAACGATCATACTAATCATTGTAATTATTCCTCCTTTTTATATATATATATATACACCTATTATATCTATATATGCTCATCCGTGCTCGTTTTCGGTATCTTTTTGAGTCCCACAGCAAATTGCACTGCGTGCCATTACCGGGACCGACTGAAAATATCATTAAGCAGAAATTATGTCTGAATCATAAAAATAAAACTTCCCGCACTTAAAATAATTACTTACTCAAAGGATTGCTATATTACTACGTTTACTTATTTATTTTCGTTGCTGCTGTTGCATGACCGACCCGTTGTTATTACGTGACTTATTTGTACTTACAGTGCAGATTTTGTGCGTCAAGATTTTTTGGCTTATGCCAAGGACGTTCAAATCTTGTTACACTTCATTCATGAGAGAAATTCCGTTTTATTTTGATTTTCTTATTTGCTTCTCTTCGGCACGGTTCGAAACTCCTTTCCAAATACGCAATTTAGATTACGAGATAACAAAAATAATTACCGTGTGTCTTGTTTATTTACTCGCAAAAGAGCTCCAGATTGGTATTTATGTTTGTTTGTTTTTTTTTTGCAATAGACTAGCATTGATTGAACGCAACATTTAAAGGTTCATACCTGCAAAGTTCAGTAAATCGTTGCTCCGTAAATAGTATAATAGAGAATTGTTTCTTTTTTCGACTTTCCTCATTGTCTGTAATTTAATATCTTGTAATAAATATATTTGTATATTGTTATGATCAAGTTACTAAATTATTCATATATACACTGTGTTCAGTCATGTGAAGATTTAGTATTAATTTTCAAATCTACAATTTTAAAATTTAAATTAAATCTTTGTTACAAAACTGTGATCAACAAATTAAATATAGTTTAAATCGTTTCAATTTAAGTAATTAATTTATTTCATATTGGTTTTTAATTGCATATATATTTAGTTAATTTTATAATTAAATTTCAATGAAAAAATGTAAATATCTAAAAATAATGTATTTTTCTAATAAATTTATTGCAAAAGAAAGATTAATAAAGTTTTGTCATTTCTTTGCTACTGTGATCCATAAACAAGTAAATCCTAGATGACATTTATCATTTTATCAAGACGGTTAGAAGATATATCATAAATAACTTCTGTTCGTAAGTCGATTTATCATTAAGGAGTAGGTGTCGACGGAAATGAACTTTAACGAATTGTGCGTAAAAACTACAGAGTCCACTATTTGGGATTGATGCGACCACAATAGAAAGTCGAACAACAGAGAAAGTTTCTCCTCTTGAAGACGATCGCGAAATGATGGATTCTCATATCCGCTCTTCACGCCTGTGAGGCCTTAAGCGAATTATCGTCCCGGAAAATAAAAGGAGAGGACAAAAAAAAAACGTACACTCAAGATATAGCAAGAAGCATCATCGACCTGAAATCTCCCACGTACCGGGTAAAATTACAAAGAAGCTAATTAATTTCCACTTTATTAGTTTGTGTGTTTCAAACGGTACAAAAGGTGTTCTCATAATTATTAAACGATCCCAATAGGATTAAATAGAGAGAATGGTGACGCGAATTGTGGCAATTAACATTGTTCGGTGCATGGGAGGATATTCTCACGAACTCGTCGATCATTATCGGAACCGAAAATTTGATTTCGTTTCGAGGACGTCGCGAAATTTGCGAAACCGTCTGTAATTATAGACAGGAAACCAATTACATGTTTTCGTTGTCTAAAATCTGCTTAATATTCAAATTCATTGTGAAAGAAAACGAGCAAATAGTTCGAACATTTATAAAAGTTTACAATTGATTTCAATGTTTATAATTGGCAATTAAAGTAAGTAACAAACTTTAAAATAAATAAAAAAACATCGATGTATATTTCGAAATTGTATTTGGGAACGTTCGATAGTTGATACAATTTTTGGAGTTTTACCTTGACGCAAATATCGTATGTAATCCAATAACGCACATTGCTGTGTACCTCTCACAGATTCACTACATTAAATCTCCAAACTAAAACTAATTCAATTAGTCCATACTGTTTTTTCTGTTTGTTTCTTTAATTTGTTTAATATTGTTTTTTCTTTATGGTTTCGGAGTAAACTGTTCGTGTATCTGGTATTATTGATCTGGTATTGAAAGGTGTAATCGAAGATCAATGTGGATCGAAGGGCCCCCGGGATATTCGCGCCGTTTGACTTTGACCGTATTCTCGTGGTTTCGCTATTGATAAATAATATCTCTTGGGGGGGCTCCGTTCTTTCCGTTCTTTCTACACGCTCGGCCGCGACATGACTGCCCAACTAAACAACTCTTTTACTCGCTTAATAGTAACCGCTCCATTCTTAAAACGCAAACTTGTACAACTTCCTCGCACCAAATGCTCCTATCCCGCCAAAATACTCGTGCTGCCCAGCCTCTTAGACTAGAATAGATAATCTGCCTCACAGATCAACCTTGAACTACAACAGAAATGTCATAATTAATAAGCACATATGATTCTCCATTTATGATAAATAACAACAAATAAATATAATCAATCGGACAGTACGACAATTATTATGGTTTTAATTTCATTCATATTTGTCTGTAATCATTTATGAAAATATGCAAGATGAAAAGGAACATAAATAATAAATTAAATTAGATTGTAAGTGACTTGGTCTGCGAATATTTTGCAAGACAAGCAAATATTCTCAATAATTTTGACTTGATAAACGAGCCTAATATCAACTAAAATCAGCGAAATATTAAAAGCAAATGAAAGTAATACATTCTATACTATAAAATGAATATAAAAATTTTATTGAAAAAGTTGTATGAAAGATGAAACGGAATAAGTGTTTGTCAAGAAAACCGCTTTACGAAAGGTCACTTGTCCCAACGTGATAATCAATAAGGAAACTGCAATGATCGAAGAGGGTGGAAAGGATAATTTCATAATCATTATAATTGTGGATATTTAAATACCACCTTAAAGAATATATTACATTGTCTATATAATAAACTCGAACAGAAAGAGAAAGAAGCACGAACGTAAATACATCAGCACGCAGGAAAACCTGGGTGCAATAAAATTTACCTGTTTGCAATAAATAGTAATTATCGATGGAAATTATAATTAACACATTTCTGTTTGAAGTTTAAAGAATGCCAAGCAATTTTTAATGTTTCCTTCGTACGCAATACACAGTTAATGAAATCGAGAGAGATAAAAATCCGTTACATAACCGAAGCCAGAGCCACGACCAGATGAGGAGATGTAGTTTACTCTATGCGGGATTTAATGGAAGATGATTGATGGATTGAGCGGTCAACTTCTCCGATTTGGTGTCGTGCATTTATTATCGAGTTGTTTCCTTTTATGGCATCGTTGACATTTGATATCGCCAATTTACATAACTAATTAATTTTAATTTGATTAATTAAATAACAATAAATTTCATTCCAATTCAAGTATGTTTAATACATTCGAGTCAAGATCTATATTTGATAGCAATAAAACTTTGGGTTTGGGTTTTCAATTATTTATTTATAGAACAAATATAATATCATTAAATTGGTTAAATACGTAATATTCTTAAATCCATCATAAATGTAACACTCACAAATTCAAGACGTGAATTTAGCATTTAAAATATGTTGCTCTTACAACTAGTTGTATAAAGTAATCTAGCACCAGTTTTGCTAATAACAGTTTGTATAAAAAATAACAAAGCTAAATATTCATATTCATTGGCAGTTAATAATACACACTGTTCTTTTGCATGTTCATGTTTGCAAGTAAAATGTTGTCCCAAAACCCATGGAATTTCTGTCTCCATTAAATAATTTCACTTAAATTATGTATTTAGAGTATATTTTGTACCTATACTTTACACTAATATCTTTTTTTCTTTTACTAAACATAACTTACATCCAAACAAATCAATATATATATACATACATTATAATATTCACAAACAAAATATTTTCAATAAAATAGTTGAAAGAAATCTACATATTTAATTAATATAATTAACACTTAGATAATTGGATCATGATTATAAACTTTTACAATACAAACTAAACCTCTACATAAAATATAAAATAGAGAATGTGTAAAATCACTTTTAATTGAAAATTAATTATGTAACTGTGTAAAGTTGAAAACCAATATTGCCACACTTTGGTGAAGTGTAGCAGCAATGGGAAATGTATATAATATAATTAAATAATTGTCGTTTTCGTATCACGACTATCGTTGTTTGGAATTTTGTTGCTATCACAAGTAGTTATTTTATTTTTGTCTCCTACTGCGTTCACTTTATCGGAAATGCATTGAAAGAGTGATTCGAAAAAGTTCGGAAACCCATCGTAACCTGAAACGAAAATCATCAAATAAATATAAGATGTATATGATTAGTATATGAATTTATGTAACCTGGATACGCATTGACATCGATAATCCCGTAACGACCGCTATTATTCTCGATGACCACATCAACACCCAACAATTCCATGCCGTAAGCTTTCCTTAATGTCGTAGAGATTTTCTGGAATACCCAATCATCTGGAACCGGAACTTTGCTAACTTCCGCCTCCTCTAAAATGCTCAAGTTACTCTGAGCCCCAGCTTTCGACACAGCGCCGCTATCGAATAGGATCGAGCAACTATCGCTCGCATAGAAATTTTTTAGAGACGGTCTTTCCACGTAGTAGCTCTTCTCGCCGACAATAAAGATCTTGAAGAGCACCGCGTTATGGTTTATAAAGTTTTGAGCGACGCACGGAGCTTTGCAGTCCTCCAAACTGTTTTCGTTAAAGATGATGAGCATTTCGTGCGCCTTCTTCGATCCGTGTCCCAGCTGCGGTTTACATATGAACGGGTAGGAAATGTTGGCGGCTTTCAGCTTCTCCGCTATCAGATTGGTGTTGCGCTCGGTAATCTCGCAGAAATTTGGTGTGAAAACGCCATAATTATGAAGATCTGTCTTTTGAATGATAGTATATGATTGGTAACGGTTTAGTAATTGACGTAATTTGTCTATGGGATCTATGACTATCAACTTGTCATGAGCTGATATGTAACTTTCTACTGATTGGATTATTTTTGAGCACTGAAATTAACAAATTATATATATTTTATCGTAATACGACTTTCTTTACTCACATTTGAATCACCTTGATCGGCTAACGCTATAATATCTGTTAATTTGTGTAGAAATACTGTAATGGGACCTTGCATCTGCAAGGATCGATTTAAATCCAACTGAAACAAAAATAGTTAGTAAACTATTTAAACATATGAATACCTAAGAATCTAAAGACTTTGAAATTTCCAGAATTTACTCCCTTTTTGCAACAATATATTTTGAAAAGGAGACAAAAGTACTTCAATTTGATTCAAATTAAAAATATATTTGAATAAACAGTTACATCTAAAATTGAAGTTGGAAAAAGTGAAAATGTGTATAGGCAACCAAAGTTTCGCATCACCATAAATACATTATTTAAACAAATCTTGCAGATCTATGCTAATTTTTAATTGAAGAATGTGCTCGGTATACGATTATCATGAATATGTATTAGTAGGAACAATGTAACAATATAATTTAGCACGTAAATCATCATTATAAGAAGTTATGAGAATGGTGAAAGGATGTGTCAAAGATATCTGGATATTTATATTACCTTAAATAATTCAAATCCGTATTTGGCACTAATCCCCTTGAACTCCTCCCAATTAATCTTCTGCGATTTCTTCTCGGACATCCAATATGCAATTCGCTTGGTGGCTGACATGTCTGTATTCTTGTACGACCGTATGCAAATTGAAAAACTCCAACCAAATTCGTGTAATATACAGAGACATGCATTTGTATTTTCAAAGCGATTGTTGGACGTTGAGAACAAGGAAGAGATGTCGAATAAGAGGAAGTCAACTCTAACTGTAGAGGCTTTCCATATGAATGGAAAGTATAGATAATTGATTAGAATCCTTGCCAACAATGTAATATTGAAACACATGGGTTAGGTGTAAACATAACCATACAAAAAGCGTTCAGTTCTGTTCATGATCAGTTCATTCAAGTTTTCAAAAGGAGAGAACAGAAAGTAATGGCTAGCGTTAAAATTAAGAAGCAAAACAACAAAGATTTCAATTTGGAAGAGTTGAAACAACTGACTAATGATGTAGGTCATATTATGTCAGAGATATTCAATTTCATTTGTTTTTTTTAGCAATTAATTGAAAAAATCAAATCCCTCCAAGCACACAATGTACAGCTGAAGACACTTCTCATAAAATCATCCACTGAAACTAAAACATCTGTAAATAGATTAAAAAAGCCATTTGACTCTTCCAAGTAATTCTCATTAAATGAATACAATTTACACAAACTAATTATGTTATTTAAGGTATCTCTTTAGGCATGTTCTACTCAAGTTTTTCTATTTAGGATGGGACTACCAAGGCTTTGTCGTTCAGGAGGATACCACAAAAACAATAGAACATTACTTATTTGAATCTCTCACAAGAACATGTTTAATCAAGGATCGAGAAAGCTCCAACTATCATAGGTGTGGAAGAACTGATAAAGGTGTTAGCTCATTTGGTCAAGTAATTATGTTTTTGTGATAACATTGCAAACTTTTATAATTACAGTACTTGCATGGGATTTCAGGTAATTTCAATAGACTTGAGAAGCAAATTGTCAGCTGATAACCAACATGATATTGAAAATGAATTGGATTATTGCAAATTATTGAACCGTGTTTTGCCGGATAATATACAGTGTGTTGCTTGGTCTCCAGTAAAATCAGATGTGAGTGCACGCTTTGATTGTACAGGCAGGACATACAAGTACTTCTTTCCAAAGTCATGTTTAAATATAGAGGTAATATTATATTTCAACTCATAAAGTGGTCAATAGCCCATTGTATATTAATAGATGTGTATTGTTTATATAGAAAATGAGTAGAGCTGCAAATAATCTCCTGGGAACACATGATTTTCGTAATTTTTGTAAAATGGATGTTGGAAATGGTGTTGTTGAATATATTAGAAATATTCTATTCATTAACATTAGTTTATTTGATGAAAACGATACAGAAGACAATGGTAATTTCTAGATATAAACCATAATTCTTGTTAAAAATATCTTTTTTTTTTTTACATTCAGAGAGGACCATGTATGTCATAACTATAAGAGGAAAGGCGTTTTTATGGCACCAAATAAGATGCATTATGGCTGTATTATTTTTAATTGGTGAAGGAAAAGAAGAGGAAACTATAATTGATGAATTACTGGACGTTAATAAAAATTCAAGGTATAATTTAATAATTGATAATAAAAATATTGTGGTAAAATATTAATTATGACATATTTCAGAAAACCAGAGTATTTTATGGCAAGCGAAGTTCCTTTAAATCTCTTCCAATGTGATTATGATATAGAAAATAATTGGCGATATGATGAAAGTTCGTTAAGTATAGTGAAAGCTAAATTGAAAAGTATGTGGACTTTCCACAACATCAAGTAAGAATGTATGCAGAATATTTAATACAAAACGATACTTACTTTAAATCATATTCCAGAGGAACAATGATTCTCTCCATGCTCAATGAGTTAGATAGATCTTGCCCTACGGATTTGGAAATTCAAAATTATCTCCATCTTGAAAACAAGACAAAAAGATACATTCCCTTAATGGCACGTAAAAGATGCGGTAAGATTTTAAAATTAATATTCAGTAAACTAAAACTGACGATTTTCTGTTTCAGAGAGTTTGGAGGAGAAAATCAAGCATTACGTTAAAAGAAGTAGACTCGAGATTCACAATGAACCGGAATCAACCACTTGATCAATTTTAAATACATTTATAAACACGACTTTTATGCTTTATTTTAGCCTTGTATATATTATATCACAAAACAAAATACTTTTTTTACAATTGTGCCATAAAATAACATATTTGTTTGTAATGTAAATGTTGTTGTTTATATATAAAATTCAATGTAAATCATCAAAATCAATTATTTATTAACCTAATTTGTATTCACAACAGTACAATAGGAATTAATACAAAAATATAAGAAACATTGAATATTATAAGGCAATAATGGGTATAATTTTTAAGTACTCGATAAGCGGATCAGCACAAAAATAATATGCGCCGAAAAGCCATTTTGTGTCGACTCTTAAAATGAAGCGTATAATGTAATCAATAATTTCCGAAAAGTAAAATTGTATATATATAAAATTAACATAACGAATAATGATATTGTATACTGGCTACCTAATAAAATATAACAATATATGAATAATGTATAAATAGAAATCTTTTATCTTTTTAGCTGCGTCACAAGTACCCCAATTGTAATTGCTGCAATGATTAAAGCTATTATAACTAAATAACACAATCGACGTCGGAATTTCCTTTGATAGCTAGCTGCCTTTATGATTTCTGATGTCCCCTCTTCTACATTCCCTGTAGCATAATCAATACCATTCTCTATCCGATCTGGAACGAAAGCAAATAACAATCAATAACAATATTTTTAAACTTTGATCATAGTGCTTACCCATGACTTCTCCTTGCTCATTTACCATTGCACTTAATTCTCTCATAATTTGATTCACATCAATAACATCTGCCTCAATCTGCCTAATTCGTATCTCCTTGTCTTGCAACATATCTTGTTCAAAAGCCAACTCCCTCACCTTTAAAGCTTGCTGCTCGTATTCAGTATTATGTGATACTTCACTTTCAACTTGTTGACTTGCTATTGCCATTAAATGTGTTTTCATTTTATCAGCGACTTGCTACAAAAAATCAACACATTAAATAAACTTTAATAGAATGCATTAATTATTACTCACTTTTTGCAAATCACCATATCTAGCTATTGCATCTTTGAAATTTTCTGTTAGCTTCTCAACTTGCAATTTCTGTTGCTTCTGTCCTTTTCTTACAATCATATTAAGTTTATGTATGTTATTGTTAGTCACAGCGATTATCTCATTTGTACTTAATTGAGTTACATGTCTAGAATTACAAAGAAGTCATGAATATTATATATCTCGAGTATTAAATCTGAATACTTACATTTTTCCTCTTAATCCCTCATTGTCCCTGCTCGTTCCTAATGATTTAAAGGATGATTCCAGAGTTTTCCAGCTCTGGTTTATTGTGTATATATTAGTAACTATGTTATCACACAGGTTGTTGAATTCAGTTGAGATGTTTCCAGCAAATTCAACATCTGTAGTAGAGGCCATCGAGCCATAGCTTTGTGTTCTTTTACTCATTGTGTACAAGTACAAACTTGATTTAGAATATGAATCACGTACTTACAACTAGCAACACTATTTCTAAAGTGTTGTGGAAATGATTCATACAATAGTTTTCTAAAAACGCTAATAAATATTTGTTTATCACTTATTTGACTTATATGTTGTTGCCTCGGGGGAATCAGCTGCTACTATCAGCTGTTTTCGTTACTGTTTAGGTGCTGTCAGTTATGACGGTAAAAGTAGAAACTACAAATAATAATAATAATACGAGATCTAATTGCGGGAAATTTAAAATTAACATTTATCATTTCACTTTTATTCAGGATAAATAGTTTTTAACCACTCGGTATAATATATTTCTTTCTTAAATAAAGATAAATAAAAAAAAAATGGTATTTTTATTGTAAATATAAGTTTAGTGAATTGGGTTGCATTTAAAATGAAAATGTAATGTAATATTTGTACAAGGATCAAAAGATATGAGTCTTATACAAATATTAAATGTTGGAATGATTGAATCACATCTATTTGGTGGTATGATTCAAATTTGTCTAATATTGACCAATTTTACTTATTTTAATCGTTGAATAATTTAAAGAAATGTAATATAAAATTAAAAAATTTCTACTCTTTAATAGACAGCACAAAGTTTCTTCATTTTTGGGTTTCGAATCAAAGACCTTTTGTATCACATTTTCGTGATACAGGCAACCAAAGTCACACCAATTTTTAATTTCTTTTTGTAAAGTTGCAAGCCTGGTAATTATTCCGTAACGCAGCCGCAGCCAATGTCATTTGTCGAAGCACCGCCGTTGTCGCGTCACATGACCTGGTTTTGTTCCCGTGACCAAAATTGACGGAAAATTCAAAAATTTGCAAGATTTGTGGTGGATTCCACTGTCAAATGGACCTATTGGACCCGTTAGAATCAAAGTATGCGTAAGTTGGTCATTAGCGGCATCGCCACATTCATTGCCCCTGTCGTTATGTAACCACGAACGATTATTGGTACGAATTGCAAGGTCACTCGCAATGTTATGTGTGTTGATTGTAATTGTCGATTATTTTCATTGTTGATAATTTACTGCGTCTAACGCATATTGTAGCAGTAATATTACGTTACCACATAGTTGCATATGCGTTCATATTGAACATTGATAAGAACTATATAGTACAGCAAGGGACAAAGTCCTTTAGCTTTATCAGCATATTTTTATTTATTTATTGTTCATTCAAAAAAAAAAAATGTTACTTAAATAATTTCTTACTCTTTGCTCTCACTTGGAATTCCTTTTTCACTTATAACAATCATCTTCTAAGCTAAGACATTGCAAACTTTAACAAACACATCCAGTGAGGATTATAAATAGTTGTACATTTATATGGGTTTCCTTTACTATTTAGCTATAGGCAACTTAGTTAACAACTAATGTAATATATTTTTTTCTATTTTTATTAATTGATCTGTTTGTTTTTACAGTGAACCTAATGATGTAAAAATGATGAACCACACATTGACCATGGATGAACATAGTGTGGGCAGTGATGATGATCCAAGGGTGGATCATTTATCTCCTCAAACCTTATTGGAAACACCACAAGAAGATGTACAATACTCATTTAGAACAGCAGATGGTAAATATATTTTTATATATAATAAACTGTTACATTAAATCATGCAATTATAGGTACTGTAACTTATGGAGTATTAAAAGTTGAAGAAGAAGTTCCAACAATATCAGGATTGTCTTATACAAATGCAGGAGTACAGCAGGTCCTTGCAGGCAATGGTCAACTCTATGTAATAGGAAATCCAAATGAAGTTTTTGTTAGCAGTCAAACTAGTTCAGCTGGTAGAGTGATTGCCCCCCGTTCAGGTATCATGGATAACGTTAATAATGTTTCAAAAGTGAAAAAGGTTTGTTTCTAACACTTAAACATTATAATAGACTAAATGTATAATATTATAAATATTATAGATGGATGAAAGGAGAAGGGCAACGCACAATGAGGTTGAACGCAGGAGGCGAGACAAAATAAACAATTGGATTACAAAGCTGTCTAAAATAATACCAGAAAATACGTCGTCTGACATGGTGAAGGGCAACGGACATTACGATGGCCAATCGAAGGGCGGTATTTTAGCAAAGGCTTGTGATTACATTATCGATCTTCGAGAGAAGTTCGAGATATGCGCGAAAGAGAATAAGCGACTGAGTGAAAATGTAGAATCACTGAAATCCAAAAACGTGGAACTGGATAGAGAAAACAAAGCGCTGAGGGAAGTCTTGCGAGGAAACGGCATTGACGTCGAAATTTCATAGCGCTCAAATAACAATTTTTTGTTTTGTTAATTCGGGAATAACAATTTTGATTTATGTGCAAGTTATAAACATTTTCGTTTTACTTATATTAATTTAGGTATTAAATGTGAATACGATTTATATATAATATATATAAAATAATTCGCCAATTCTTTTTTGTTTACGTAGAACAGCATATAGTAAATATATATATTGTAAATGTATTGTGTAAATTATATATCGGCATATATGTATACTAGAAAGGCAACATAACTAAAACATATTCGAAGATATCTACATCTATGTTTGACCAATCATCTTTATTCATTAATTTTTCTTTCTTGTGTACACTATGTGTCTGTTTATTTGTTATATATATATATTAAGTTAAAATCCACCTTTATTGATTTATATTTTTTTAATTTGAAAGACATTTTATTAACTCAATTTGTTAATGATATTAAGTTAACCAAAATTTATGTAAATAAAAGCAAGTTATAATTTCATTTGAATTCTTTATACACACTCTTCATGATCATGTTTCTTATATTTTTTATGAAACAATACGAATTTGAATAAATAAGTTTCCACCAAAATATCTGTCTTTGTATATTTTATATTAAAGTTGATAAAATAAAAAAAAACAACCATCAATGTTTGTCTTGACTTTGGACTTTAGTTTGTTAATGGTCAAACAAGTAAGAAATAACAAAATAAATATGGAACATTTTATTTATAGATAGAAAATAATGAGATCAAAAACATTATCACACGGAACCAAACGAACAAACATATTTAAATTAACCATCTAAACGGTCTACTAATCGGAATTTTAATGGTCGAGTTGGGGCAGCTAATAACTGGTTATTGCTTTCAATGTCGCCATAATGGTACTCAATTCTAAATTTACGTAACATCTAAAACAAATATTTATATTAATAACAAGTAAATAATTACATAACAATGAAGTTACCTTAATAATCAAAAAGCAAATTTGAACTTCAGCTAAATTCTTTGCCAAGCATGCTTTGGGTCCTAAACCAAATGGAATGGTAGCCAAAGCTTCCATATCTTTATTAACTTCCATCCCTAACCATCTTTCAGGTTTAAATTTCAGAGCATCCTCAAAGTGTTCTTCTCTCAAACTTGACAAGTTTGTCGCGATCAGCATAAATGTACCTACATATGATCATATTTACTAAACACTATTAATCAACTTCTAAAATTACCTTTTGGAATTCTATATCCATGAACAGTTATATCTTTAGTTAAGATTCTACTCAAAACTGGCATTGGTGGCTTCAACCTCAAACTTTCATGCAAGCACGCCTTCAAATAAGGAAGATTATTCAAATCATCCCTTGTTAAATTTTCTGGCAATTTAGAAATTTCTTGATATAAGTTGTGCTGGACTCTGGGATTTCTCGCCAAATGATACATCATGAATGCAGCACTATGCGTTGTCATATTAACACCTGAAATATTCAAAGCAAAATAATATATAAACAATTTTTAGGAACAAAATTATGATATAAAAATGTTTCACCCAAAAGCATCATGTCCAAAAGTACGGTAAGAATGTCTTCAACAACCATAGAATCCTTTACTAGGAAGCAATCAATCAACGAAACGTCTTCCGGTTTAGTTTCAAGATTTTTCTCTTTGCGTTCGCGTAGTTTTTCCTGAGATTTCTTTAAGTAGCTACCCAAAATGTGGTCGATGGTATCGCAGTTCTGTACCAATCTTTTCCACGCCGGTGTTTCAAAGAATTTCCACATATGCAAACCTAAAATTGTTATAAGTTTGAATTGCAAAAACTCAAAACAACTGTTATGTTATTTAATACCAAATTCGCATTTTCTTATAGCATGCGTTGCCTCTGAAAGGGAATCTAATAATATGCTGGTTTCGGCAGTGGAACTTAATCCTTTGGTATCCAAAAATCCAAGGTTTTTGTTGAACATAATGCCACACAAGCATTCAAGACACCACTTATTTAATTCTTCTTTGTAACTTTTCGGCACCTCCAACTGGCGATTTCGAATCACCATAGTTCGGCCAACAAAATTATCGCAAGTCTTCGCTATTCTGTCGCATTGATAATTCAAAGACTGTTCAAGAGCGGGTTCAATACTCTTTCGCAGTGTTTCCCATTCTGGACCATGCCTATAAATGGAATATATAACTTAAATTGAAATTCAACATGATTCTCTTATAGAGGAGTAATATTATGTCTTTTCCTAGCATAAGTTAAAAGTAATGTCAAGCTTCATATACATACATGGAAAATGGACCAGCTTGTCGGTATAATCTGTACTGCAAACGGTATTTTTCGACACAATCCAAACTTGATCTAATTGGATACGGCCCTTCGTTTTGAAAAACAACGCTCGCGTGTTCTGGACGACTCAAAATAACGACATCTCCGCCAAATGGACCGTGGAGACGTACAACAGGTCCATATTCATTCAAAAGATAACGGAACAGCGCCAAATTGTTACCCCAGCTTATTTGACTACCTATAATTGAATTGAATGTAAAATAATTTGATGTACATTATTTGTTTCGTTGATATATGCGCTTCTAGTACTTAGAAATCTTTACCAAATATTTTACCAGCACTAAGAACATATTGCAGAGTACTTGTAGTAACTTGATTTCCAAAAATTGGAATGACGCTCCAGATTTTCGAAATGTAACGCAAAGCGGTAGGTCCGGGAACTTCGTCGAATGGTATTGGCTTGTGGAGGTCCTCTTCCTGCACTTTCAACGATACATCCGGTCTCTGATTAACGACCATTTCCGTTTTGGAAACGATGTTTGAAAACGGTAACTTCTCCTCCGGCTTTGAAACTAATGAAACACATTAATTATATTATAATTATATGGCAATTCAAAACTTACTGCTTGTAGTAGAGGGTTCAGAGGGTAACGCGAATGGGGACGCAGCCGTTTTATGGGCATCAGCAAAATTTCTGGCGAAAAATCCGGCAGCCGAATTAAATTTCGTAACATTCTTCTTGCAGATTAATCTCCACATAGTTGCAAAGAAACTTTACAGATCTGACAGTGAACAAAATACGTAACTGACGCACTCGAAATTTTTTATGCACTTGTTTCTGGAAAACTGCAAGCAACCATGGCACTCTGCAAAATTGTGGACTGTTTATCCAATTGGAAAGCACATAAGATTTTACCACCACTCATTTCAAATGTGACCAATAACAGTAACTGTTACATATTTTTGAATTTCAACGGACTACGATGAGAGTATAACATGACTAAAATATGTATGTTGTAATATATAATAGATATATTTCATTATAGAATTACAAATATTAGGTAAGTGCAATATTATATAATAATTATATAAAATATGAAACAAAATATATGTTGCCAACAAACATTTAATAAACGTATTGCCAACTTTAAATATGTATCCTTATTAAATGGTTGCAGAAGCTATGTTCGCCTCCTCCGATACGAAGGCAGGAATACGAATACAAAAGTGCATTGTGGGGTCGATAAGCACCAGTAGGTAGTAGAAATTAGCTAAAATCTCATACCAAAATAGAGTTTGAATATAAATTTGAAAAATTCCAGTCACCAATCAAAATTCCTTTCCTCGGATGAAAAAAGTGAACATGTCTGAGAAAACCTGGACGCAGGCATCTCTATCATATTTATGAAATATACGTAAATTTAATGTACATTCACTTTTGTACGGTAATTGATGTACGTAACTATTTATTATTTACACTATTAAGTACTGTAGAATTCAAGTATTATCGTTAGAACTAGTAAATTCTGAAACTATATGGGTTTAGTAATCAGTAATAATAAAAATCATATTTAATTATTTTTTAATTTTATTGTCTTTTTTACTAAGATTAAGCTTAAATCTAGGATCAACGGTTTTTTTACTTTTAATTTTAACTTTATCTATTTTAATATTAGATTTTTTATTGGCAAAATCTTTAAACCTAGGATCTTCTTCATTTGAAGTCTGCTTTTGATCGCCCTTCGTATTTTCGCCGTCCGCTTTTCCATCTTCGACATCGTTTTCCGTATCAATTTTCAGTTTTTTACTTTTGTTCTTCAGCCTCTTGGTTCGTTTCCTTTTCTTCTTTTCTTGTTCCACCTTATCCTCTTCTTCGTCTGGGTCAAGACCTTCTAAAATCCATTGCTTCCTTTGATTCACCCTCTTTTTCTCATAAAATTCCTTTTCATCCACCTTTATGCTGGCTTCACTTTTCGTTACGGCAACTTGCGTGTATATTTTACCTACTTCCGTATCTGTAGAAAAGAATAATTAAATAAGTCATTCAATCAATCAAATAAATACATACCATCAATTGTGTATTCTGTTAATTTCATATGAATAAACTCTTCAATAGCTTGCAACAGCAATATTTCGTGAGGGCTAACCAAAGTTATGGCTTTACCTCCTCTTCCTGCTCTTGCAGTTCTACCGACTCTGTGCACGTATTCTTTAGGTATCTTCGGTACAAAATGATTCACAACTAGTTGCACAGTTGGAATGTCTAATCCTCTGCTAGCTACATCAGTGGCTATCAACATCTTAATTGTATTTGATTTAAACTTTGCTAGTGAGGAAAGTCTTTGACTTTGAGGAATCATACCATGTAAAGCCACGTTTTCAAAACCCACTTCATTCAACATCATGGATATGACCTGACAACTTCTGCAACTGTCAGTAAATATCATAACATTTCCCTCTTCATTCTCTTCCCTATAAGCGCGAATCGTTTGTACTAAATATCCATCACGTACGTCTTTTGGACACAACACATAGTGTTGATCTAACTGTTCAACAGTTGCTATATCATTGGGCGCTTCATAAAGAAATACGTCATTTCCTGTGACTCCCTTCAATTTTTCCAATGTATCAGTAATAGTAGCCGAGAAGAACAAACTTTGCTTCTTTTTAGGCAATTGTTGAAATATTGTTTGAATATGTTCATCATAATTACCACCAAGTAATCTATCAGCTTCATCAAGTACTAAAATATTGAGAAGAACAAGAAATTATAATTAATATAAAACTTGTATTATAAATACATACCCAGAAATTGAATTTTTTTCAGTGAAAATGTGTTACAACTATCTAAATGGTCAGCTAATCTTCCAGGTGTTGCAACTACAATATGTGGTTTTTTGGCTAATTCTTGTCCTTGAGTAACCATATCCATTCCTCCAACAATAACACTGTGACGAAGATTCATGGGTTTACCAAAAACAGCAAATTGGTCTGCAATTTGAAATGCCAATTCTCTTGTGGGTGTTAGAATCAATGCAAATATTCCATAAGGATCTTCACACAATTTTTGTAAAATCGGCAATGCAAAAGCCAATGTTTTTCCACTTCCAGTTTTCGCAGCACCAATACAATCTTTACCTTGCATTATTTGGGGGATACAATTTTGTTGAATCAACGTTGGACTCTTCACACCTAAAATATATAAATAATTAATGTTTTTTTTTTTAAATTTTATTAATAATAATTCCTTGACTTACCTATTGAAGCACATTGTTTAATAAGCCAAGAGCTCAATTTCATTTTAGCAAAAGTAACATCAGACATTTTGTACGAATTTGTTTAAAATTATAAAAGTACAAAATTAAACTTGCTAACCTAACTTATGACCAGCCACTGTTGATAGTTAACAACTGAACCACGTGTTTCTAGTGATGCCATCTATATTTTGTTGACCATTTTAGACACTAATCAGCTGATTGAATAAACATGCATGAAATCTAATCAAAGAAGCAAACAAAGGCTGAACACTCTTTAAAAGAATTCTGTTGTATTAGTTAGTGATTATATAGTTTTCATGTGAGAGCCATGGAAAAAGATGACGAATTTTTACATGGATATTTTAATTTCATATCCCAACTCTGCTTTGATAAGGCCAAGGAGCATGTTGTAAGTTTTTTTTTTTGAAATGTAACATACACAAAAATAATGTTTACATTGGTTTACATTTAACAGGAGAAAGAAAAGGAAGCTAATAAATCAGCTTTGAACCAATCACTGACTTGGGCTATGATTTTAGCACAGTTGCAGCAAATAGCATTAGCTGAGAAGAGCTATATGGAAATTGGTTTTCTGCAGAACAAGAACAAAGGATTTTTGAGAAAAGATGTGAGAAGATTTGTTATTTTACCTTGAACACTAAAATTTATTTGTTGTTTTAGAATTCTCTCAGGGCAATATATGAGACAATAAAATATGATATGAAAAAAATTGAAGAAACAAGCAAACAGTCACAGAATGATCAAAAGTATGCAAGTATTGGCCTCAATATTGATCAGTTTCTTAATGCTCGAATGAGTCTTATAGACTTGTATCCTTAAACATTTTAATCTTAAAATCTTAAGAGAATAATTAAAATTTTCCTTAACTAGACTTTAGTTATGATAAAATGTATTTAAATAGTGCCAATAGTATCTTAAGATATAATGATATGTTGCAAACCATTAACATTTTGATTCAGAAAAATGTTGATATGTTCACAGACATTAGGTTTACACCAATCAAGGCAGTTTTCAGTTTAGAATGTTCCATTTTAGAACAACTTTTTAAAGCTTTAACTGAGTTACAAAGATTGCAGTTTTTGCCATCTCTGTCTCTTATACATGGGGCGCATACACAGTTAGCAGCTTGGGAGAATAAAATACAGAATAGAGAGGTGAGAATACATATATAATTTATAAACATAATTATTACTTTTAATACAATTTTTAGACATGGAAATTGGGTTTTTTGAAAAACAACCAATTGCCGGCATTGTTCCAATGGCATTTGAAGTTGAAAGGCGCGGTGTTAAGTAAATTCAGCTTATTTTTCCATGACACTTTGGCTTCCCAAACGTCTAACAATGAGATGAGACAAATGTGTTCGAAATTGCATTTCGATTATTACAATAAGTATAATGATCATTAGATAATAATGATATTTCAATAAAACAATAATTTTATCTTATAGAATGGCAAGCTTCCAGAAAAAGTACGACGCTGTTTCGGTTTTATTTTTATCGCCAAGTCAAGTTAGTTGCGACACTACAGATTATGAAAGTTTTCCAGTTATTGTTGCGTGCCCTCCTGTTAGTATATAACTTCTATATTCTATATTCAATTATGAAATTAACTAACCATTCATATTTTTCAGAGACCGCCACCAATAATCGACATGATTTTGAAATTAATTGCTGATTTTACAACCGATTTGGAAATTCCAGATAAAGTAATTTTTAAATATATAGTTGAGGTAATTTCTAAATATAGTTCGTGTAGATGGTGAAAAGAACTGTAGCAATAGTTTGAACATAACATTATTTATTATAATTTGTTATATTTAAAAGTTTTCGTAACTTTTCATAATCTAAAACGTAACTTTTTTTTGGCTTATTTGTAATGTTATCATTTCTATTTCTAGGATAAATATATGTTCATCATAACGACTTTAGAACCAAATATATATTTAATAATTACATTTGAAAGTAAAAAGACTGAAAAGGATACTTATATAACGAATTTTATAACGGACATATGTGCAAATTTGCGATGTACGAAAATATTTACTGGGATCAAAAATCATGCTAAATAAGATACAATAAGATGAATTCCATAACATATCAGGGTGCAGTGCCATATGAAGCTACTCCTAAATGCTATTTTAATTATTTTATAGATTCATTTTTTTCTAAATTTTATATACTGTTTGTTTATATTAAAAAAAAAACAATTTCTTCCATATGTTTTTCTTATTTTAGCCCTATTTCAGCTAATCTTATTAGTTTATCATATAATAATGTATAAAGATAATTTTAAAGAATATTAAGTTGCCTAAACATTTTGTTCAACTCTGAAAACTAGTCGAAGTTTTATGTTTAGGCAATTAACGTGATTGTTAATTTAGTTTATAAAATATATAAGTAAATAGTTATATAAATACTGTACGAATTAAGTCGATAAATGTATATAATATGTTATGTGACCATATTCACAAATATGAATATTTCAACTAAATTCACTATCACTAAAATATATAAATAACAAATAAACTTAAAAGATAATCATTTAGTAATTAGTTATACTTCTTTGAGACACAAATATTTGTATTATTGTACTCGAATACAGATCTAATTTATGTATTTATGATAAATAGGTTGCCTACATTTTGAAACGTTTGAATTTCGCGCGTCAAACACAAGCGTACGAAGTCTTCTTTACCGGCAAAAGAACATGTCGGTTTCCTTTTCCGTTTATGTCGTCAACCAGTTGACAGGTACGTCCAATGTTTATTCATTTTAAATAAGAATTATCACGTTAAAAACTGTAAGTTTGCGCTTAAAATGTAACAATAATCAACTTATTTATTAGTGCAATAGTAATTCAATTCAGAAAGTTAAAATAATCGTATAATTTTCATGAAAACATGTTTGCTCTCTGAACGGCATGGAGCGTCGTTTGTTTCACGTGTATAATCTTTTATTTCCTTTTGTTTTTAGCTGAAAGATGCCTTCCGTTACATTAAAAGACGTTGACCAACACAAGTTCGTCAAAGCTTTCTCCCAGTTCCTCAAGAAGTAAGTAAACTTTAACATAACCTTTAAAATAATTGATGTACATATTCCTTAAAATACCACCTTACACGTCCGTTTTCAATCTAATCAAGTTAAATATTCAGTAAAAAGATTGTGTAGATTATTTGATTTTTACAATTGTATTCCAAACATAAAGGCGAGATTAATATCAAATTATGTTTTGAGTTAACATGGCATATAGATCAATAATAGCTTTTTTAAATTACAACAGTTTTAATCATTATAATGACATTAGGCCATAATATGTTATTTTTTAATATAAGTTCTCATTTTATTGGGTTCTTATTGGTATTATAGGTATAATGTAAATTTCTATTGTGAATACTTCAAAATAATTAATAATTTGTGTGTATATTAACGTTATTTATATTCAAAATATATTGATGTTTATTTAATAGTGTTACAATTTTGATGTAAATTAATACTGATTATTTATTTTTTTATTTTCAGAACTGGTAAATTGCGTGTCCCAGAATGGGTAGATCTTGTTAAGACTTCCCGTGCCAAGGAATTGGCACCATACGATCCCGACTGGTACTACGTTCGTTGTTCCGCCGTCATTCGTCACATTTACTTGCGTTCCCCAGTTGGTGTTGGCACCGTTACCAAAATCTTTGGTACCCGCAAACGCAACGGTACCATGCCATCCCACTTCTGCAGGTCGGCCGGTGGTGTTGCCCGCAAGTGCCTCCAGAGTTTGGAAGCCCTTAAGCTCATCGAAAAGTCCGCTGACGGTGGCCGCAAAATCACCTCCCAAGGCAGACGTGACTTGGACCGCATCGCCGCCCAAGTTAAAGCTAAGGAACGCAAAGCCATCAGGGCCGGAGTGTTGACTTTGTAAATTTTTTTTTAAATAAAATATTTAAATAAGGAAAAATAACAAATAGTTTATTCTCACACATCAAAAAATCTATTCTATTCACTATAAATGAAAAACTACGAACAACACTTAACTAATAAATATACATAGCCGATACTGCTATTATTTAGAGATTTCCACTTCGAATCGCCACGAATCAAGTTGCTGTTGGTAAAGATAATCCAGTAACATGACTACTAGGTTTCTTGGTTTAGTCTTAATATTCAAAATCCGAACACAATTTTCTATTTTGTCGTTTACAGAAATAGTTGTAAGATGATGGAAATTACGAAAGAAGAAACTAAATAACAAAATAAGGTATATAATATATAAAAACAAGTAAATTCTTTATATTTATTTAATCTTATATAATTATAACATCTGTTTTTGTATTTAATATATTATCGTTTAAAGCAAATTATCGACACAAACAATATCAGTTTCAAACATTCTGGAATGACCATAAATCAACGTAAACAAATAGGGGACGGGATTATTTTTCTTTGTCAAACATAATCTTGCAATTTTCCTCAATCATACTCGTTGCATATGTAACAACACTCAAATTAGAAGATGAATCTGTTCATTTTCTGTCACGACAAATAGTAATCCTTTATGTTAATTATTTTCTAGCGAAAAATCACAATTTCATTGTAAAATTACAAGAACATAATCTCTATTCGGAAGTCATTATATAAGCACAGCAAACATCTGTTGACACATTGATTGTACTAAGTTCCACAAGTTTGTAAATTATCATCAGATTTGATTTGGTAACAATCTCTGATATTGGCAAATATCTATAATGTATATAAAATAATGAAATGTGCGGATGGATACAAATTCTACTACAGTGTATATATTTTTTGGTTTGTCTTTTATGTTACAATTCTTGGCACAAATACTAAATATACTTTATTAATCAACATTAAGGTTTCCATTAACAGGAATTACAAAATTTCATAATAATTAAACACCTATGGTGTATATTTTTACCATGATACAAGTATATTTGTATCATGTGTATTTACCATATGAATATGGAGACAACAAACGAGTACAAGGAATTATTTGAATGCCCTAAGCTAGTTATTATATATTTCTAAGGTCGTTTCGGCATTATTGGATACACATTTTTTAGAGATTTTTCTCTACCGATTAAATGATGTTTAAACTTTAAATTCAGTATAATTAACATTACACTATATGTTTTTTGGGTTATATTGTCAATATCTTCCATTAGGTATTTCATTAAACTAAAGTAATTATCTTCCATTAGATAAAGGCATTAAATAATTCCTTTCTGTATACTTGTTTAAATTTGAGACGTTAAAAATGGTCTATTTAGGAAATTTTCTATATAAATAACTAAGTCTTGAGATTAATTCAGTGCTTTCAATATACCAATATGTTTATATATCATTATAGACTTTAATGAGTATAGTTAATAGTTTTTGATTTATTTTTTTTTGTTGGTTTTCTTAGAGTGTGTAGTGTTGAAACTACAAGTGCTCTTCTTAATGGGGTTCAAAAAAATGTCTACGCGACATTCAAAGTCAGCGCAAACCACAATTATACAATGTATAAAGAATCTTATAGTTTAGTCTTATGAGTTTCGCAAAGTCATCAACTACAATTCCAGAAGAATAAATATTTTCTCTTAGTATTTTTCTTTTTAAATATATAGAATTGAGCGAAAAATAGAGTTTTAAAGAAACGAAGAAATAGAATAGATTATAAAAATAACAATTTCTATTATTTGAATAATATAATAATCACAATAATATTTAGGGTGTGTGTAGAAGGGCGAATATAATCATTTATCACAATTTTCATTTGAAATCTCTCCATTTTCAGTACACACGTTTTGTTGAGTGAGGAAATAAAATTGAGAAATACGAGTATTCTTCTCACGCATCCGAATTCGTTTCTTTAAATTTTACATATGTATTTTCTGGTAGAATATCATGTTATAGCAATTATTGGGTTGTAAAGAGGACAAAGAAAAGCGTAGGTTTAGAAGCAAACCGTTGGTTTGATGTTTCTTAAGAACTTACACATCGAGGATGATTCAGAGAGTCGCTTGAGGAGAGGCGCCGTCCGTGCCAGGATCGACGCCGGCTTGGCGGAGCCAATGTCTCAGGTTTCTAGTTCTTTCGACGAGAGTTGTAGTTGCACCCTGGTTTGCAGCATGAGTGACAACTGTGCTTTGGGCATTTGCTAGAGCCACGTGCTGTCGATAGTTGTGCAACCGATCTGCGAGCGTCGGGATGGACGGTGGCGCGGGCACAGTCGCTGTACCAGCCAGAACGGGCCAGCCCAGGTCTGGATAGACTAAAGGGAGTGGCATTACTAGAAATGTAAAAATTATGAATAAAATTATTCAACAAACTAATGATGTTCTCTAAAGGAAATAAATAAATAAAGAAATGAACGGTTATGAGATTGAAAATTAAAATTGCCTAGAGAGATATTTAGTTAAAGGAGAACCACGGGAAGGACTTTAGGAGTTTAGTACCTAGGAAAAGAGAAATTTATTTTATAAAACGTATTAAGTAAGCGGTTTGTTTTAATATTTTGATGTGTTTGCATACCTGAAGCCATATTTCCGGCTTGCTGCTGGTTTAATACTTCCCAAATCTCGCGGATTTCAGAGTTAAGGTTTTCTAGGCTTTGGATAATTTCAGAAGATTCTTGCAGATGCTCACCGCGTAAGATAGTCTTCGCTCCGTCGGCCGCAGTAGCAAATTCAGTCGAACTAATTCCAGAGCTGGCGCTATGCGAGGAGAGATCACTTAAGGTGGTCTCATCCTGTTTGTACTGATCATTAGATGCAGCAGTCGCTCTTTGCAAAGATTGCTCCAAGTGTCTCAATCGAATCACTTTTTCACCAAGCAAAGACCGAGTTCGGTGCAAAGAAACCTCCATGTCCGTTAAATCTCTCTCTTCCTACAAATTACAAATCCTGTTAATCTGCTCCATCCCCATCACAATCACATACTTGACATAACTGCTGCAGAGTGTTCCTGGCCATAGAACCGTGTTTAAGTTTCAAGTCGTTCTGGCGCTGTTGGAAGAGGCATTTCTGCGTTCTAAGACTCTCTTTGGCTCTCTTTATGGAGTCTCGTTCTAAATGAATCCGGTGCCTGAAAAATTCTAGCTCTGAGCTTCCCTCAAATTTTTGCCCATCCGAAAACGGGTATCTACAAAAGAACACGACAGAAAACGTCGAACATGTTTTAACATATTCAAGTTTCTGTGATGGCAAAGTACATACTAAATATTAAAAAGAAAATAATCATGCTTTACCTCAAATGATAAGTATCAGCTTGTGCGTTTTGCGGAAATTGATCTTCGAGGTCTTCCAACTTTTGCAATTGCCTTCTTAAGTTTTCCACTGGCGAACACGAGCGTTGGGTACGCTTCTTGTTATTATTCGTGCGAATGCTTGCGGTCGTTTTCAATCGTGAAAACAGCCTCTTCCTGCTTCTTCCTGCGTTTGCATTTTCCTCAGAAGAATCGCAATCTAGTTTCTCATCGTGTTGGCCTGATCTATCGCTCGTCGAAGTATCCAAATCCTGTATGATAATGGTCCGCGTAACTTTGTGTTCCGGTTTGTTTCTATTCGGATCAGTTTTCAATATTGGAGGTTTTTCTATCATTCTATTCGGGGATCTACAAGAAAGAAATAATTAAAGTAGTATATTTCGAAATTTATTACACGCGTCAAATGTATTTCACTTTTCTTTGTTTATCGAATTGCTGCGTTCCGTTTCTGATCCAGTTGTGGTGGTGGCGCTTTGTTCGCGTTTTCTATTCCGCTTTTCCATGGTCAATTTCACATCAGTTTTTAACCGGAGATACTTTTCTTTTAGACATCTATACTTATCTTCTAATAAACGTTTCTCACAGCGGACTTTCTCATACAATCGCTCTTCGTTTACGTTTTTATGTATAATATCATCCATATCTATATTCCCACTTACTTTCTTCTTTAGTTCGATTATTTGATTCTCATGTTCCTTGCGAATAATTTTTTCCTGTAATAATACATAATTAAAATAAATTAACCGTAGCTATGATGTAATGTACTCACTTCAGATTTGTAATCTTGTTTTATTTCATCCATAATAGCTTGATGATTTTTTCTGACCTGATCTAAAATCGCGTTATGCGATACAATCAATTCATCCTTATGCTGTTCCAAATCTCTTCCCAAATTCCTTTCAACTTCTTCTAACATTACATCAAATTTCTTCCTAATCTCAGATTTCTTGACGTCATATTCTAATATTAACTCCTCTTCGATCTTCGATTCGTCTATTTTAAATTTAGATTGCATCTCTTGTTTGCTTTTATTTAATTCTTCATCTAATTTAAGTTTCTCTTGCTCCAACGCACCCAAATTACGACTCTCCATTTCGACACGCAAATTTTCCAATTCCCTCTTAATATTTTCTTCGTATTTCGATTTTTCACCTAACAGAATTCTTTCTAATTCGTTTTTCTGAGATTCTTGTAGTTTATTTTTATATTTCGAAATTTCTTCATTCTTTTCATTCCAAATAGTTTTTTTCATATCTTCCAATTCGCGATCTGCACTCTCTTTCAATTGCTTGATAATGGCCATATTGTCTTCCCTATATTTTTCCGTTATATTATTGCAATTTTCTTCAGACAGTTGCAGATCTTTATCTAATCCTTTCTTGTCGGAGACGCGTTCAATACTTTTAAGTATTGAATCATCTTCTGAATCGGACATAGGAGCACTCGTCTCGCTTTCGAGAGGCTTAATTTTAGGCTTAACGAAATCTATAGGATTCGGTTTAATAAGTTTCAAAAGGCTCTTTGGATCGCTTTCCTGGTTTGGACGAAAAACATCTTTGACTGGTGAATTAGAAAAGCGTGGTTTTGCCTTTGTCAGTTTCACATCAAACTTGACTTCGTCTTCTAAACTTTTATCAGAAAAATCGAACATTAGATCCGCGTTTTCTTGCAAATTAAAACGAACATTTTTCTTATCATCCTCTTCGATACTTTTATTTATTGATTCTACGAAACTTCTTTCACGCAATATGCCTCTAGGTTGCTGTGTTTCTTTATTGATGGAATCTTCTAATAACGATTCATCTTTTGATTTAATTATATCCGAAGTACTGGAGTTTTTAACAATTTTATTATTTTCTTCGTTTTCTACTGCTTCCTTTTGTTCTGAGCCCTTCTTTTTGAGGAACATTGAACCACCACCGAGCAGCTTGAATTCCTTTTTAGGTGATTCGATATTTTTGGTATCAAAACTGCTGCTCAAGCTGAGACTAATTTTGCGATTAACATAAGCGGCAATTGGTTTTTCTTCTGATTTTTGTCTGATTAGTTTGGGTGTAGTAAAATCTTCCAGTCTTGCCTTCATTGGTGATAGCTTAGGTTCCTTCTTACGTGCACCCAATGATAAACTTTCGAACTGTTTGTGCATGAAGGGAGGTTCTTCTAAACTAGGAAGATCATCTCTTGTGTACGTGGCATCTTCGTTTTGTTCCCCGATGCTTAAAGATTGACTTTCTGTGCGTTTCTTTTTTACCAATCCTCTATAAACGTTATCCAATGGATGCTCCCACTGAGTTTTCCCTGTCATGTTATTGTAATAATAATAAGATTTAGATTTTTCATCAAGGCTGAAAAACGAAAACAAATGGAATACATTATTTTTGATTTATTTATTTTATGTATGTTGCGGAATTGTGTCAATGTGTAGAAATGTCAATCAGTGTGGAAGAAATGAAGGTGGCCAGCAAAATTGGGATTTTCTGCAGTTTATTGACCTCGAATGAAAATGGCGCAAAGAGTCTAAAATCAGCTGACTTCATTCATTAACATTTCAAATCGCTTTCACTCCGTCATTGCGAATGGGAAAACATACCATGGCTTCCATCCTGCGGGTAACGCTCTCATGAGCCCCTCGGCAGCAAGTGGAAGGAACTGGGGCTCGGACTCGGGATCGATTCCAATTTTCGTTGCGTAATCTCGAATTTCTGTAATGCAAACATTTGTAATTTCGCACCGACCCCGTGAGACCTTTCGTAATTATGTGTACTAATCAATACCGCAAGAAAATCATGCAAACGCTTACCATCGTTCGAGGGATGGCTGGATTCGTCGAAGATCTCTTCACATACCACACTGTTAGCTGTAGACATATTGGAGAGATTCAAGAGCGTTTCTCCATTTGGTTTTAATGATTTTTAGTGTCACTGTGACAGTAGGTGCTGGGGCGGAGGTACGGCGATACAAACAAAAACAACAACAGCTGGAGCGGTCGGTCTGTGGGACGGAGCGGCGCAGCGGGCGTCGCGACGTCGACGCTGGCGCAAGGTGGCGCGGCTGATGCGCCCTTTCGTTATATCCTCTTCACCGAGATTACGTAATCTGTGCGCTCCGGCCCGCTTCTGCCATTCGGACCGAAGGGGCGCGGGCGTCGCGACGCACCGTTCCGGACCTATCCACGAGAGTCGCGGACGTGATTCGTACTAATTGGGGATGTGGGTCATCATTTCACAGACACCCTTCATTCATTCATCAAGTGGTTAGGTAATAACTACATTAGACGACTATTTATTAACATCAAAACAACAAAAATATACATACTTCGTCAATATTTATAAACAATTATTGATTTGCGTTATTTCATGTAAATGTACACCGAGTTTAATTTTATCCTTTAAACTCAAAGTTTTTATGAGGGTTCTGCTTTTACGAATTTAGAATCAAAGTTTCGTGGAGAAAATCTTTATTACATTTTTATTATCTTATTTTTATAGAATTAAAGAGAAAATGTTGATTTCACTATCTTTACAACAATTTGTTAGTTTCACATGAGTAAATATAATTAAATTATAAATTGTATATGCAGATTGAAAACTTTGTATTTGATGGAAGCTTTTTAATGTTTACTACTATAATATTACAATATTATTCATTATTCTCAATATGTAAGATAAATAATTTAATGTTATTTTATTAGATTCTAGTCAATAAAATAAAGGGGTAGTCATATCTTAAGAATACACGTAAATCAACTGTAAAGTGCCAGACACAATATATTACCTATAGTCGTGTTGTGCTTTTAAATTTCTCGAGCATATGAAATAGTGTTTTAGGTACTTATGATATTGATTTATCTGCCACTACTTTTCAACCAAGCAAGCGTTTCCGCAAAGATAAACTTTGTTAAATTTAAACTTAGATGTTAAAAACATCACAGAATTTGATTAATAAAAATACGAATACGAACAAATACGATACGTTCAAAGAATAGAATTTTTCCTATGATTATCTACATATTATTTATAAACATATTACATTAAAATAGAGTTCTTAATGGAGATGCAAATCAGTTATTTTAAGTTTGATTTCTTCATATAAAAGAATTGTATAATCTAATGAAAATCGTATGTGCAAATATCCTGAAATAAACGAGTAAGGCTTTTAATTACCTGATTAATTTGACTGAATTACCGCCATGACAAAATCCTATTTAAAGATTAATTGTTCGGGATTGGTGAAGGTGACTCTAGGTAGTATCCGTAATTAATCACATGAAATCAACAGATTAGTTAACCATGAAACCTATTATTACCAATTAATAACGCACATGCGATTATTTTAAATAATAAGTTACAATATTTCGTTTTATTTAATATAATTATACATTATACTTATTAAATTTTGTCTGTTTGCCTGTTAATAAATTATATTTTATTTAAAAAATATATTAAGTGGTGGATGGTTTAAATGCCGGTTATTTAATTTATTATTATTTTTTCGGTTTCATCCTTTCTCGCGATTCGACCTAGTTTTGCGTGCGGCTATTTCGCGTCGGCGTCGCGGCGCTTTCGCTCTGGAGAGGGGATGGGGTTGCAGATGAAACAGGGATGCTGTATTAGAGGCGGCCCATCCGTATTGATCACATAACAGTGCACCCAGTCATCTCTTGTCGTCTTACATAACCATGTAGTGTGTGGTGCGGAGCACCCGGGTTCCAATCAAATAAACTACACATCAAATAAAATTTAAAAAAAAAAAAAACACGGTGAAAAAGCTTAAGATCTGTAAGTGCAGGACATCTTCTGCACAGTTCGCTGGGCATCCTCCCCGTCCGGTCTTGTGCGCCATGGGACTGGGTATAACCCTTCGAATCCTACAAGCTCATGGTGGTGGTCACGAATTTAGGCGCCCAAAACGCACCTGATGAAACCCCGCCCGCAATAACATTGCATTTTTGTCATCACCACAATGACGATGTTGAGGTAGTGCGCGTTGTTGAAGCCATTCCTTATCCTGGACATGTTGCCGAGGAAAGAACATCTTGGCTAGAAGAATCCACGAGCGAGTAAGTTGTACAATCAGCGCACGTTTTGTAATTCAAGAACATCTGCTGAATGAAAGCTGTTTGTTTCATTGTTATTTACAGATTGAACGCGTTGGTGGAATCATGGTGGATTTGGGGGGTTATGTTATAATATTGGTCGAAACCAAAGATAAGAAAATTAAATTATATGGTGAGTGGTAAATTATGAAAAAAATTGCGATATTCTAGTTGAGTTTGGATAGATTTGTTTAATTAGTTATGATTTAGGAATTATGTTCTAATTTGAATCGTTGATTGGTTTCGATTCGACAGGTTCCCCAGCAGACAAAGACAACTTGGAAGTGGGCGATGAAATTCTGGAAGTCAATGGGAAAACTTTAGAGGACGCCTCGCACACAGAAGTGATTAGCCACATTCACCAGGTACGCAAAATCGGATTCAATTCCGTTTGATTGCACGTTCACTGAGTTTCGGTTTTGTTTTGTTTGTCTTTGCAGTGCATCAGATCACGGACAATATGTCTCCGCGTGAAGAGGAGGAGCGGTGCCCGACTGGGTAAGATGATTTTAATTAATTTGCATAAAGAAACAGTCTGAAAATAATTATTATTATTATAATCTCGCGGTGCGATGTCACGGACAGTTTAGGGTTGAGCCCTGTTGCAATAAATCAACGGGGGGAGGCTTTCATCGAGAAGAGAACACACTCTAATTACAATTGCAAATTTGCACACGTCGGTGCCATTTAATTAAGTGAAAAATAGATGAGACGTTTGTTCCGATCGGATCTCTAACGGCGACCAATTAAATCTCTAACCGGTAGATTACTATTTACTATATTGCCAGCAGCACTAACTGCAAAGATTTACAATCTAATTAGTATCTGCTTATTAACAAAATGCTAAGATTAATTAAACGTTAACTCGTAAGTCGTTACCAAGTCGCACATGGCATAATTACTGTCTATCTCCTGTTTTTAGAGCATGAAACTGCGATTCTGCTGCTGTGTGTAATCCAGATGTCATTGTGTTCTAAGCGGATCGCGGCGTTATTAAATTAAATTGGTCATTTCTTGTGGTCCAATTACACCACCATTGAAACTGTTACTCTGAACAACATTTGCAAATTAATTTAACTTTAATGCAAACACCGGGAGCACCACCTATGCGTCCGAAACACACACACAGGAATTCCAATAAATTAATCGCGTTACAGTTCGTTCAATTATATTAAATACACGTTATGGAAATATCAGACCATAAAAGGCAAAACTATGTGATTATTGAAAGCAACAAAGACTTTCTAAGATTACGTTGCTCGTTCTGTTTTTTTTTTATTTGCTAAAGGTCGTGCGTATACATTTCATATTGGATCAAGTATTTATCAATCCGTTGTCTGTTGGTTTACAACATTACTACAGTTTCTGTATCGTTTTACTTTGATCAAAATCGCTATAGCTATCCATATTGACGCGAAGAAATGAATGAAAATTGAATTGAATGCCTGCCTGCCCTTCCTTGCAGAAAAAGAATTCCACTCTGTTGATAAATTACCGTTACGTGACACACACACATGGAACATAAAAATACTCTGTTGCAGAAAGTGTTACAAAATATGTATTTCACGATAACGTTTGCAATTTACGGAATTGCTTTTTTGTTTGTTTTAATTTTAAATGCAACTTTTAATAATTGCAACAATGTTTACTTACAACTTATAGTTATTTGTTGTATGATCGGATACAAGACACATATATCTATAAAAGTTATAAACTTGCGAAGAAGTTTATGTCATGAGTTTTAGATATACTTTTGAATGGACGTTTCTAGTTTTTTATGGATTATTGCAATGTTTATTAACATTGAAAATAATAACCTTTTATTACTGAAAAATTTTAATAATAACAATTTTTATAGCAATAAATATAAAATAAAATAAATTTATTAAATTTTTTTTTGAAGATTTAAATGCCGTGAAAGTTTAACTGTAGCTTCAAAAGTGCTGTGAGATGAAAAAAAAATGATTGATAAATTCTGTTCATAATCATTGCATTGATACCTCGCATAATCTATAAAATATTCCGACTGTTTGAATCCGAACGACTTTAAAACCGCACTTGACAGAATAAAGAGAAATAAACACTGATAATAAAATTATGTTTAATAATTCAATTTTAAGATTTGCAAGAATAATTAGTTAATTTATCTTAATTAATTAGATAGTAATGAGATTTGTTATTATTTTTTTGAATGTTGATAACTATTGATATAAAAGTTTTAAGAGAAATTTTCAACAATGTATAAGATTACACAGTGAATTTAGTTACTTTGGAACAAAGTTTAATAACATGTTTAGTTCGAAGCGAAACTATTCCCAGAACTTTCTTGATATAAGAGCAGCAAGCTCGAATGAATACGCTGTACTTGCATACAGAGAGGCGTAGGTCTCGTTCAGGGTGAGAAATGCGTGTGGGAGCCCTTCGTGTAGCGTCCTCCTCCCAAACTCTTTTCTCTCAGCGTTTGTTTATTTCGTGTTCATTGCATAACATTCTGCACACAATGCACACTACAACACATACACACACATCCACACGATATTCTTAATTAAAGTCCCCGCTTCGCCGTCGGTCGTGGTCCGTCGACGGGGCACTGACGTCACCCAGGTGGCCAACTTACCTGTCTGGTATACTCACAGATCGAGCGCGGACTTCGCCGCGGATTGACCGAAAAAAACAAAAAAGAAAACAAACGAATACATTAAGCACATCCAACAGACAGAGAGAAACATTCTCAAAAAACTCATCGTACCATATGTGCACAAAGCAATGGATCGATAGATTCAATCGAAGTTCAAAATCTGTGTTTCCAGTGGGGGTTAAAATCCTCTAGTTCTTAAATTTGTGCTACCTAGTTAGTGTGTTTCTTTGCAACAGATATTTGGATTATTTACGTTTTTTGGATTTGATTTTTCTGTTCGATGGTACGTTGACTTTACTTTATTCTTTAATTTAAACATATCTTTGAATCCTGTTCACCTCCTCGACATCGAGGTTACAGAAACGTAATTTCTTAAACTCAATAATTGTTATGAAAAGCCTGGATTCCATTCGGAAATGTATAACCTATTAGGAAAGGAAACGCCGCTCGGTGAAGTCTCGCATTCCAGGTCTGTTTTGTAATCGAATATAACTGCTGCTGCAATAAAACGAAAATACAACAATATGTATATTTTCATGCGCCGCTTCGCATTACACTTTTGCTTATTATTTACGAAACATGTATGCACTTTGCTCACGCCGTGCGTCAATTGGTAAATAAAGAAAACATGCAATTAAACAAGATTTTGTCTACGACATTAACCGTTACGCAATTTCTTTCCGTTCAAGGAAATACCTTTATTATATGACTTTTATTTTTTTTTATTCTTCTTTCATTTTTTTTTTGAAGTGGGGCAATGGCATAATTGCTCAGCACTGATTTGAAAGGAGGATTGACGAGCGTCGTGCTAACGTTCCCAGGCATCTGGTCTGATTAAAATGCACGTGGTACTGCTGTTGTTTTCAGTTCATTGTTTTTTTTTTTGTTGTTTGCCTTCTATTTTTGTTGTAATTAGACACTGAAATACGCCCTCCCTTCTGATAATTCGATTCGAGCGCAAACGGATGGATTAAATCAAGGCTAATCACCGTTTTCCCATTTGTACGCTGTAACCTTGCAAGCAAGCAAGCTTCAAACTGTTTGTTGTATTCTCTTTGATCATGAGGAAATTAATTCGGCTGGCAACAACGGATGGAGAGAGAAAAAAAAAATGTATACATGGAAACGACACAGTAAATCCTATGGGAACACGCGAATGGCAACTGCAGTTTGAAGAATGAAGCGTTCGGATAATTTCGTAAATCATTTGCCCATTGCATGTTTATTCAGTGTTTTCATTGTGCATACGTTTGACTGTTTGCCAACTTTACTAGTTTTACGATTACTAAATCTCAAAGATTTTGCGTAACGCCCTTAATCCAATTGTAAATATTGCGTTTCTACCGTACATTTATGTGTGTTATTTTTTATTAGATTAATAATAATGGTAAAAAAAACACGATTTTAGTATAATTGAAGATACAAGTAATATATTTACACTTTCAAACAAAAACTCCTATTCTTTTTTTTATTATTTACTTAATATGTTGATATAATTATGAATATTTGCAACAAACTTGTCATAGATCAGAATTGAAAGATCTTTGAAATAATTAAGGAAGTTACTGTTTACTAACATTTATTTATATTATGTATAATTGACAAATATTTAACACTCAAATGTGTTCTTTATATATATTTTTTATGCAACATCCTGCGGATATACCTCGGTCAATGTTCTGTTTCGATTATCTAAATCTCTTCTATAATATTCAGTGATTTTAGTTTCATAATTACAATATTGAAGTTATTATTTTATGTCTCGATTCGTACAGGTTTCAAACGTATTCTTTTCGTCAAAATATATAAGAACACTTAATGGTCAATGAAAATAGAATTCCACAATACAACAAACGTTTCTAGTGAAAGGCTGTGATGATACTCGGAGAAATTTTTATTATAAAAGAACATTCACATTTCTGTGTTTACATGGAAGGTCGAATATTGAAATGTTTGTGTGATTATAAATTTATAAATACCAAAAATTGTTAGTTTGAAAATATCAAATAAAATATGTAAAAGTTAAATTACCAGCAAACTACACGAATAGTGGAAATCCGCTTTCCAAAAGCTTAGAAAATACCATATATTCATGCTTAAGTAAACAGTATAAACCCGCCGCGTTCAGTTTGTTAAGTATTAAAGACTTGTTAATCTAACAAACCGTTTCCGTAAAATAACTATTATTATATGACGACATTTATTTCATGCTTTATTATTATTTAATTTATATATTTTTTTATATAATTTTGATGCATTTTTTTATAGTTATTAAATATTGTTTTATTATAAAACGATAAATGAAGTTATTAGAGGATTTGATTATTATTTATGCTTTGAATACTATATATTGTTTTTTTCACATGCAATAAGATGTAATGAGTTTTTGTTACGTAATCGCTGGTTAAATATAATCGTTTTTTTTTTGTATTCACCTTGGCTGTATAATAGTCTGGGTTAATTTATTTTTCAAGTATAAAGACTTGTTAATAAAGACTTTTTCTTAGTTTTGTAAGTGAAAATGTAC